ACTTTCATCACTGTCTAAAGTTTATCGTACGGTCACGACTTGTCTGGTAGTGTTTTATTTTTCATTTTTTTTTCTACAAATCAGAATGATATGAAATTTGGAGCGTTTGTTTATCAAAAATAGATGAATCTACAAAAAATATCAAAAAACTATTTTACATGAAATAAATTTACCAAAATATCCCTGAAATATTTTAGGGGTATTTTGGTTATTTTTACAAATTATTTTTTTAATATTTTTATTCGGTGCGCCTCACGAAGATGTACATACGCTCCAAATTTCAGATCATTCCAATTTGTAAAAAAAATGAAAAATAAAATACTACTAGACACTCGTGACCGTACGATAAACTTTGGACGATGATGAAGGTAGGTGAAATCACTGTTCATTTTCGCCTATAGGCGTTGGGAAGACTTTTCCTCAGTGTGTGTGTGTAGTAGCTTTTAGAGGAACTTAATATATTATTAATCCTAAAATATTCATAATATAATAAACAAATTAAATGGTTCTCATCTTTTATTGTAGATCACTTTGAGCTTGAATTTTGATCTCTCTCTTTCACTCACAACATTCTCTCTTTACATTGTTGACAATTGTTAAATATAAAAATTATAAAGGATGAAACAGTTTAGTCGAAAGATCACCATCCACATGTTTCTATCCATAGTGAGTTTTTGGTCATCACTTGGTGTGATGGTAAAAAGCTTGGGTAGTCGGCACAAGAGCGCGGGTTCAAGTCATAAGAGCAGCCACTTTGTGCATAAAAAACCTAAGGTTATGACCGTTTCCAGTTCACCTTTGCCGGGACCTTACGTAGGCAGGATCAGCACCGGATTACAACCCTTTTAATTAAGTTCTCTCATTCAGAGTTATCCCAAAATTACATTATAATCACAGTACAACATATTCCTACAAAGAGAGAGAGAGAGAGAGAGAAAGAGAGAGAGAGAGAGAGAGATGGAGGAAGTTAATTTTCATCGAAATAGACGTCCAAAAAGTTCATTTGGCATAGCTTCATTATATATCCCACTTCCACGGCTCAAAGACGTCTTTAAGTTCCGTACTTTTCTTAAGTGTATCTACCTTGGTATTATTTGCAAGTATACATAGATATAGATCTATAAAGAAAAAGGCCCTAATACATGACGAGCTAGTGTAGTGGGAATTGGAAAAGATATATTATAAACAAGTATTCAATAGAAAGGGACAAAAGATAAAAGATGACGCTTATGATCATCATCATCATCTAAGTGCTATCTCAATTATTTGGAGTCGGTTACATAAATCTTGTTCATTCATTCCTCTCTATTAAGGGATATACCCGCAATCAGATCGTAAGTCTCCACATCTCTTCGCACTACTTCACCCACATCCTTTTAGGTCTTCCCCTTACTATTTAAATCCTTATAATGAACCAAATTGCCCCTCTAATCCGTGATGTTCTAAGTCGATATTGTACATAGCCAGCTCAGACAAATCTCTTTTCTCTCATTTTATCACATATTGGAGCCATCTCTAAGTTCCATCCGATGTATTAATTTCAAATTCTACCCTTTCTTGTCTTGCCACTCATCCATCGCATTATCTTCATCTCAGCTACATTCATTATATAGATATGTTGTTTATTAATTGTTAAACATTTCATCTCATAAAACATGGTTGGTTTTACAACCATCCTATAGAACTTCCCCTTCAATTTCATTGGTATACGGTGATCACATAAAAGTCCGGAAGTACATCTCGACTTCTCCCAGCTCGAATTCAATCTCCCAACCAGCTCGAATTCAATCTGTGACATCTTCCTTCAGTTCTTCGTTCCCATAGTTTATCAACCCCAGATATCGAAAATAATGTCTTTTAGGTACTTCTTGGTTGTCAGTCTTAACTAATACCTCATTTTTGTTCTTATTATTACTAAATTGGTATTCCATATATTTTGTCTTAATCCTGCTAATTTTAAAAATTATAGATTCCAGAGCGTCCCTTTAAAGTTCTTTGTGTCAAAGTCATCTCTAATCTCATCAATCAAAATTATGACATCTGCAAATAATATACACTACAATACCTCATTCTATAGATGTTTAGTTAACTCATCCATTGTGAGCTCAACATTGACACCTGGTATAAGCCTACTACCTTTGAAAATTCACTTGTCTCTCCACTAGTTGTCATCAAATTAGTTAGCTCTCCCTTGTAAATATCTCTCACCATATATGATGCATGATGATAAGTTCTAGTAAAATGAATTGTAGCAAACATAGTAAGAAGAATTTACCTAAGAGAGAAGTCATTTCTTTTACTTGGCCGAGATCAACATGAGGGAGAAACCATTAAGGATGGAATGGCAGGGACATGCATGACTTGGTAACAAGAAGTACATTTAACCATTTCTCTTTCATTGAATCATGCATAGTTACAATCTAAGCACCTAGAGAGAACAAATTTGGGGCCAAAAGAACCATACCATAGATATGAAGCATGTGAACCGCCGTCAAATAAACAGTCTAATACATTCTCAAACAGTGAGACATCAAACCCTACAAAAAGCTCAACTGTACATATCAAAATCTTATATGGTTAACAAATGGGTATGTGCTTTTATAAACACCATTTTCATCACAATATCAGTTTATTTAAGAATCCATCTAGGAAGAAATGAGATTTTCTTCTATTTCAATCACTTGGTTTTGTGTAGGAATGCTATGTTAATGATGTGTATATGGCCTACAAATTTGTAAAGAGAAAATGATACATGAAATGGGGAATGTCGATAAAGAAAATTGGGACTTGTCTTTCATTGTTTTGATCATTGAACAAAGATCATGCATTAATCATAAGATCATAATCAATTTCCAAATCAACGGACTATAAATTCTTGAACTTGCAAAAATAAACAAATAAATAGAAACTCTTGAACACCAGTTCATATAACGCACAAAAATTTTCTCTTGATTTCAAGGGGCAGTAATGAAGTCACGAAAATATTTCCATCAAGTAGTCAACACTGATACATTTGGCGACCATAAAGTATCGCTAATGAATCTATTACAACAGTATATATGATTTAATCCAACCATTAAATATAATGATTCTGTATATAGAAAGCATTGATCATTAATCCAAACCTTTTTAATCACCGCCACGAAAAAACAGACATATAGATAAACACAAAAAATACACAAAACTATCATACATGAAACGAGAAATGCAATAAATAATAATACAATGTAATCAATCATACGAGTAAATAAATCCATACAAACTTCACCAAACAAGAGAAAGAGGGATAAGGTGAAAATCCCAATAAAAGCATTGCTTTTTTATTCTTTCCCTCTCTTTCACACCAACAAACGTAGAAAAAAAAAACCTAACTCATGATCAACAAAACTAAACCCACTACAAATTTTTTTTTTTTACTGAAGGGGATACCTGTTGATTTGTGTACAATATGGGAGGTACAAAAAATAGATGGGAATATAGACAAAGGGGGGTGAGTACAATGTTCAACCATCAACAGTC